CTGTTCCGCGATGAAAACCAGCTTTAAGCAACGGCGTAGTCGAACGGTGTAAGTAATCCTACAATTTTTTGTTTATAGCATAGTTTATACAGATTATTCCCAAAAAATTATACGTATTTTGGAAATGTTGAGTGGAATTAGTCTAGAATCGGTTAATTTTATAGTAGAAAACCTTTCGTACAGCCTTAGTCCGTAAAGTTCCCACCTATCGGGCTGCGATTGGCTCACGTATTTAATCATTCCTACAACGTAATTTTCGGTTAGCGTGGAACGTATCTAAGCGTTATAGGGGGGTCTACTGTATTAGTTTATAAATAGAGAAGTAAACAGGAGCAGTTCCAGTAAACTAAAACAGAAATGTTACTACAGAGTGCATTTACATTTACATTAGCATTATATTAAAAGATAGCGATGTTTACACAAGCACACGTAGAGAGTTGTTATTTAATACTCTGTAACACATTCAACTTTCATAGTTGCATGAAATATAATTTAACGGTATGAGAATGTCCATAACTCGAGCTTTCACTAAAAATATAAAAGACCTGTACTTTTTTTAATTCTGCAGGTCATTCAATCTTGAAACTGGATTCTATAATGTCTTAATGTAATTCATATAGAAACAGAGCACTAGTGGTGCTGAGGTAAAATTATGGCAAAACAGGGTATTTATAATATATATTCGTAATCTTGTCGATGTAAACTTCACATTTCCAAAAATAAATTGACCATGAAACATTATAATAGATGTGCTTTCATTTTACGTATTCGCTGTAAACAGGTAATAATTCTTAAGCATTGTACTATTTGTTCATGAACGTTAACAATTCACACTTTAACAAGAAAGATTATCTTCTGCAATCGTTAGTTCCATTCAAAAATGTGAAACTGGATTATTTCTGTTACTGTATATAAAAAATGGCAGCTAGGTGCGCTGCTACTACTATTTAAATGAACAATATATTCCAATAAATTCAGTATTCGTTTTGGCATCGTTCAGTATTATACATTCAAATCTTTCAAATATTTAGTTCGAATTTTAATTTGGTACTTAAATAATGACTGTACAACTATTTGAATTACGTAAATCATGAATTACGCTATCTTATTACAGTTATAAAAATGAAAGAAATGTTTATTCATTAAATCAACGTAAGAAAATAACTGTAATCAAATATCTCCTATTAAATTCGTCTTGTTTCGTTTACTCGTATTCATCAAGATTTAAATAATTGAAGAATTCTTTCCAGTTGTAATGTTAAGTGCAAGAGAAGTACATTTAAATTCCTTTTCCATTACACCACTCAAATCGATTAAAGTATTAAAGATGGAATACAATGCGTTGTATGCCTGTTAAAATAGTAAAAAGTTAAATATACTTTACAAATTTGGAACCGTGTCGTTATATGTATTCGTTTTCCAAGCACGGTAAATGCAGTCAATAAAAGACATTAAGAAAATGTTCATCCTTTGTTTATTCCTTTCTAGTTTATACGCGTTTCTGGCTCACAATGCCCTTATTCAGTCAACTACTATTAAAATGTACATGACTACTACATAGCATCAAATTTTAAAGATAAAACACATGATTTACAAAAAGCATACCATTTATGTGTTATCTTAATCATTTAATGCTGTATAGTAATTATGTACCTTTTAAAAATAGTTGAGTGAAGAAGGGCATTGTGAGCCCGAAACGCATATCAACTAGAGAAGAGTAAATATAGGATGTAAAGCTGCCTAGCCCCTTTTGAGCCGCCCATTTTTTTAGAATTTTTAATTAAGCATAAAAAATACTTAAAACTGAAAAAAAAACGAAAAAAATGTGTTAATTTTAAAGAAAAAGCTTCAAATTTTATTTTTCATTCTCTGGCCTTTCTGTGAAATCTGACGCTGATTAGTCATTGTGTTTACAGCTGGATGACCTTGACAACAGCTGGTGTTGGATTTCCCGGGGCATTCTCATAAAAGTCTCGGGAGGCGATGGGTTTAAAGTAAGGTGAATACTAGCTGGCCGTATATTTTTAAATATATTTAAAATATTAAAATTTTTGTTGCGATTTTCGACCCCCCCAATTAATTAAACGTATATATAATAAAATCTATTAATTAAAAAAGTTTAAAACCGTCGGAGGTCGTTTTTTACATCAGAAACTAGCTTTAAATGACTTTAGTGAAGTAAAATCTGTGCACTACAACTTTAGGACGATTAATTAAATTTGATTTTAAAAATCCCATTAAAAAACAATTAAGCGTTAATCGCGCGTCATTAAAGGTTGATTAAAATCGCGATAAAATTTTTTTGCGTGGGTAAAAATTTTTGAAAAAATTTGGAGACTTAAAAAACATCAAAAAATTGAAAAAAAAAAGTTTGGGGCACAAAGGCCCAGGTTCTATGTAACGCTATGCAACATGCCCGACAGAACTCGGGCGAGGAACTAAATGTGTAATTAAAATTAAATTAATTAAATTGCGAATCGAAAGAGAGAGAATGGAGAAAAGCTTTAGGCTGATAACACAACAGTCTCAGACACTTGAAAAATCGTTGAGTTCAGAGATAGGATACTTCTTTCCTACCTATCTCAGGAACGTGGTGAGTGCTAAGATCGGAAGTGCACTTGCACGCACCTGCAGACAGTAGAGTCCGCAGGTGCGTGCAAGTGTGCTGTGACAATTACATTAAACTTTAAATACACAAAACTAGTATAAAATGCATTATTTTGGAAAATGTGTATTTATTTTTTATATAAAAAAAAAATAATATGCCAATAACGAAACAGTGTCACTATCTTCATGAAACAGATTATAGCGCCATCTTGTCACCTCGTTTAAATCTAACAAATTAACTAAAATAATTTTTTTTCAGGATATTCTGTTAAAGTTATTTATGTAAATTGATTAAAATAAAGGACCCGTTATATCATTCACAAATATTGTATTTGAATCTTTACCGAATGTGATAAATGTGAAATTATACTTTTATTTACTGTAAATAGTGATTTAAAACGGTTTCTATCACATTATTCTTTACAATATATCATAATTTGTACTAACCTTGATGAGGAAATCTTCTTTTATATAGAAGAAACCACCAACAGATATTCCTAATGGAATTTTTCCAAATCGTTTCATGTAGCAATTCATCTGGAAGTTAAATACATATTTTTATTTATACATTGAAAAAATCCAACAACGAAATGCTTAACTTTTCCGGAAATATTCTGTGGCGCCATCTGTTATCATATTTTATTTGAAAAATTTTATATTTTGTAACTAAAATGAGAAAAACTTGATTTTACAAGTAAAAATGGGTTTTATAAAACATTCTAAGTGCTAATAAGTAAAATCGTCATTGATCTGACCACACTCGAAATACGAAAAAGGATTTTATTTATTTCGCTTATTTTTTCAATTTTTAATCACCAAAATTTCATAGTGACAATCTCTCTTACAGTCAAACATGGCTGCCATATATTGGCAGTCATGTTTGACTGTTATATTCAAATATATTGGAAATTTTTGACAGAAAAGACAGCAGTTATTAAGCTTCAAATACCTTAAAGAAAATAAACTGTGTCACACCCATACACACTATCATAAAGAAATAACACGAATTTTTGGCATTTTTTAACGTTTAGAGGATTTTTGATCTAAAAAATGTAAAGAACGTATGGAGGGGAGATAGTCTTTGACCGATCGCTATGTTTTTTTCTCTGTTATATATGCCTGGAAAATGATATTGTACTGCATTCCTACTAAAAGTGTAATTAATTACAGTAACATGTCCAAATTTGAAATCATCATTCAAACATTCTTCTGATTGTGAGAAATTTTTTTCTGATAGCCGATCTACAAAAACTAATCAAAATAGTTATAAAACCTTATTATTAGTACACAATCTATATATATAACCCATTCTACTGTCCGTCTGTCCCGTAACCGTTTGAAAACGGACACTAGAGGCGCCCCTATCGTATGTCATATTTCAAACATTCAAATTAACAATTTTAATTCTTATTTAAATTAACAATATAAATTTTTATTATTCATTTTGCCAATAAATTATTATTTGGTCAATATAACAATATAAATAATTCAGTATATTTGTAATAGGAATTTATTATTTCAGGGGCTTATATCTCTCGAAGGGTCGCGAGTAGGGGTATGGCTCCTTTGACTTTATTGTTAATACAGGGTGTACGGTTTGGGGGTTCGCCACCTCTTCATTCGGAGGGTAAATCTTATCATTGGGACTTTAACGGAACTGTACAGCATATTGATAGGAACAAAAAAGTCAAAGGAACCGTGCCTCATGGAAATTTGTAAATAACGCCCACTAGGGGGCGTCCCGGGCTACTAGTTGTAAATAATGCTTCAATAAAGTATAGTGTACACATTGTACAGTACATACATACAAGTTGTTTTTCGATTTAATGGTGTTGTTTACCTGTTACTCTCTGAAACATGTTGTAAAAGTACTTTTACAGTGTGTTGTGTCTGATATAAACAGACATCGTTTAATGCATTAATTTAGCGCCAGAAAACCGTAGAGTTAAAAGTGGTTCCCTTCACAATGCTGCATTGCACCATTAGTTAACACGGCAATAAAGGTTTAATAATTCATTTAATTTTTCTGTTGATTAGTACTACAAAAAATATAAGGTATTCAGTTTTAATCTGTTCCAAGACGCTTAGCACTGTTAAATATCGAAAGTAAATAAAACTACCCCCTTCTAACAAAATTACGCGTAGCGCTATTTATAGTGTTAGAAACCAAAGATAATCAATTCACGCTCTGTGAAGAACACTAAACGCGAGTTAGTGAGCCTCACTTAGCGCATAAGTGGCAAAATAAATAACAGCCCCGAACACTGGTCGTGGGTTTGCGCCTCGACACCATGCGGGTCACGTAACTTCTGGGGGTTATTTGATGTTTTACACATGAAAATATGGTCCAGATGCCCTCGAATATCTTTCTTTAGCGTATAATCCGCGTTACGCGTTGCCGCAAACAAGTAAACAGTGGTTTCGAAATTTAACTGTTATTGTTAGTTTTATATATCTGAAGTTATTTCGATCTGTTTAACTAAAAACATAAAATCTTCAAGTTCATTTATTCATAGTACCAAAAAGCTTTATTGTTGTTATAAAAATTATTCTTAAATAAAATACTACCCAATTTTAATGAAAAACAATAATCAAAGTTTACTTTACCTTCAGTTTAAATCTCAATGGCAAATCAGCAGGAGAGAGTCTGTAGATAGACACAAAGTCGTCGTACAGCTGGAACAAAAAATCATACATCATATAATTTTTCGAAACATATTAAGCCCATCTGTGGCCAACTGGGTAAAAATTACCGAACAATGTAAAGTCACGCGAATGAAAGACGACGTGCAGTTTCCAGGAATTTCCTCACGTGACTAACCATTGTGTTCAGTAGTTATGTCCACTTGGCACAGGTTGGCCATCAGCACTGCATTAAAAACAACTAAAGTATTTTATGTTATATAATTTCAAACTTACCAATGGCGTCAATTGTGATAATGCCCAACAGCATGAAAGTACTGCTAATAGAATAAATGGAGATGCAATAAGAAAATAAACCTTTAGATCTGGAATTACTTTTACAAATATGGTAATATATAATACAATACAGCATATATGCATGAAGAAGGCATACGTTAATGGAAAAAGATCTTTGAAATTCTCATTAACTTGTTTTAGAAATTGCCAAATTTCGACTTGCTTTTCGAAAAATCTTTGTAATTTATACTTTATCGACAAATCATTTATCTTCATTTCTTCAAGTTCTTCGGATAATTTCATAAATCTATTGGAAAAAACTATACCCGAACACGCACACACGACAACTGTTGTTCCAATTTGTCCAAATAAGTAAAAATTTGCAAATTGAAAATACATAGTGCATACGAATCCTTCTGTCATGCTTCTACCTTGTCTTCTGAATTCGCCCATTATTAGCACTCCTGTGATAATGGTTAAAACTATAAAAGTTATGAATACCACAAAAATGGCGCAAAATAGATAAATTTCGAGTCGTTGTAACAATTGATATTCGTCCTTGTAGCAGCTTTTCACTATATGAAGAGATAGTTTCTTTCTTTTCGTAATACTACACTGTACTGCTACGTAAGATGAAAGTATAACCAATATCACATTCCATAAAAATGTAAACTCTTTGAAAAATAAAAAAACTCGCATACAGTAAATGTCGATATTGGGCAAACTAATAATGTAACTCAGACACAGAAACCATAAAAATGCTTCTACGAGATCACAATATACTCTGAAAATTTTTTCGGGAATAACAGCTCTATCTTTTGCCATACATCGACACGGAATTACCGGATCCAATCCAAATACTTTGAGGATATTGACAAAAGGGCGAAGAAGAAATCCAAGACATCTATATCGCTGATCAGTAAAATACATACTTGAGAATACACATAAATTCAATTTTAAATATATATTAATAAGAGAACTTATCCCCTAAATATCAAAGTTCGTACGAATGTAGGTAGGTAAAGTAATTAGAATATTTAGTACTAAAATGTGGAATTATCAACCGGGTGGATAAATCCTCTGACTATTGCCAGTTGGTCGTGCGTTCGCACCTGACCAACGGCGCGCTCTTTTTTTCCAAGAATTTTCACATGTCAGACGTCAACTTAAATTCCACTTTCTCATAGAAATTCCTAAATGGGCCATCGTTTGTTGCCAGATTGCCAATGTATTGTGTAGGTTTATCCCATCATATCACTCTACACAAACTGAAATTATATAAACGAGACAACTGAGTATAGAATGAAGTCGAGTGCTTTCGTAATACAACTTGTATTAATTTCAGTGGAATATCTCATGTCAATATTGTAAATGATGTGGTTTAAATACCATAAATTTATTTATAGTTTCATTGTCAAACAACTGACCATTTATATAATATACTTAAAATGTATTATGTCGCATTGGAATGCGTATTTGGAATGTCGTATTGGAAAATAATAACTAACTAAATTGTATTATATAAACATGTAATAAAACTTATTCTATAACAAGATTTTACTTGTTATATTTTACAAAGCACTATTAATATAGTACAATAAAATTAAATTATATAACCTTAAAAATTAAGACGTGGTCACTTCAAAGATTCTTGGGAGATCATATTTCTTTTAAATGTTTTTTAGTAAAAAGTTTAGACGACCCGACCTTTCTTTTTAGGCTACGTGGCGGTCCTGGTAAAGTTCCTTAAAACATAGAAACAACCAATAAAAAGTAATAATTTTTTTTAAATTGGATTTGATGATCTTAAGACGTCTTGCTTATTCTATCCTCCGTTCGGGAGTTTCTTTATATCTACTGGAAATTTACGCTGTTTAATGTAGATTATCTCTTATCTTTTCTCTAGCTGCGAATTATTATTAAATTATTATTAAACAGCGCAAAATAATGTGCAAATATAAATAAAAATGTATTTCCTATATAGAATATGCATTTTCTGATATAAGTTTAATTTGTATAATTTACATTTATACAGAGAGTTGTGTAAATAACTCGCATTAGTTTCCTACGTTAATGTGAGAATGCGGACGCTATTTTTATTTTCACACTAACTGCGTAGTTAGCGAGGGTGACTTTCGTCGTCCGAAGGTCATCTACGAGGGACCACGATGTCACGTGACCCCCAAACGTCCGAGCGACCGGACGAAAAGAATGACTATATAAGGAGATGAGTTGCGGGAAATAATAATAAATCAGGGAGAGATGTCAAAAGACGTCAACAAATTCCCAGATTTTTCCCACGCAGATCGGGTATATAAAGGAGTCGGATTTTCTACTCGGGGCGCTTAGCCGAGGAGCTAACGCCGAAGCAACCCCTGAGGACAGCTAAGGAAACGGACAGCGATCGTCGAGGAAAGAGAACGCAGTGGACTACTCTTCCAGCGACCTCAGGATCTACGAAGTTCATAATCGCCGCTCCATGGAAAGGTAAACTTTGAATATTTTTCTATTCTCTCCATATACGACGGAATTACTCCTCGAAGAGGTTAACAGAGGAAACCTCCGAGCGAACTTCACCTGAAAGAACTCTCTACGGATTAGGAGCGACGGAGCATACACCGCATCTGGACACAGCCGCACGACCTGAGAAAGACATCGCTCCACATAGCCTTCAAAGGACACCTCGGAATTGAAGACGACGATCACAGAGTGTTTTATCAACGCCCTATAATATGACAACGTTGCCTTCGAGGTAAATCCTTGTCATAATTATCTCTCTAACGTAAGGTCTCTCTCGAACTTTAGCATTAGGTTAGGTTAGGATAGATTTTTATAATACCCATTTATATCTTAATACGCGAGTGTTATATTTATTATCTTTATGTATAATTTCTCATCTGTTTATTGAATGTGTTGTCTATTTGAACCTGTGTAGTCAATTGGACACCTAATCACGACTTCCGACTCCTCCCCACTCATATTTTTAGCCCTCCTATGCCATCCGACAACTGAGAACGGGTCTTTCCAACCCGTGCAGATTAAGTGGTCATTAGGGTTCACCTAGTGGAACCCTGCCACTCACATTAATCATGTAACACTAATGAGCTTATAACAGTTTTTAAGTTTACATATTCTACTTCACTGAACCAGTGTTTTGTAATATGAACTAAGCAACCCACCACTCACCGAGTAAATAAAACTACTGAACAATCGTAGTAAGTCGTGGGTTTACGCTTTCTTAAAAGGCCTGTCACGTAGAATTTTCCGTGTTAGATTTACGTTAGTAACATATTAATAGGGGCCAATTTCGAATAAAATTCCTCCCGGGAAACATTTGTTATCGACAGACACCGATGTGCCGTGTCCCTGTTTACGAATGAAACTTCATAACACGAATATAATTAATAAACCGGTAAAGTCTTTTGTTTATCTAACACACGTGAAAAGTGTATAACTACTGGTTAGAGATGTGTTGATGAATTATTATTATTATACCTACCTCGGTTATTCCTGAGGAATCAACGTGCAAGAGTTAAGAAGGAAGTGTGCCGAAGATTTAGTGACGTGCCTGTATCAAAAATTGTACAGAATTTGAAAGAGACTGTTAATAAAAATGCAGATATATTTTCATTATATACTTAATTAATAGATTTTAATGGATATGACGCAATTATAGTTTACAATTCAAAAGTTGTTAAAACACAAACGATCAACTAATACGATTAACGGAGGTCTACGGTGTAATTATTACAATTAACTTTTTAGTATGATTGATTTTTATACTGAATTGACAAGACGGGTGATAAGCCAATGTAGTGTTTTTATGCTTTCGCAAAATTTATCAATTACTGTAGGTGTTTTACACGTAGAACAGGGAAAATACCCTTGGCCATCTGCTAAACAGGCACGAACCCACGAGGAACTGACATTGTTTTGTGTTTATCTATTCGTTGGACCAAGTTATTGTTGTAGTTACCATTTATATGTTAGCAGAAGTGAATATTTGAATAAATAAAATATATTATTTACTCATTATTGTATAGTTTAAATACTTATTTACTGTGTATGTTATATTTTAATTTTGAAATTAAAATTTTTCTGTTAAATCTGTAATTAGAAAAACGTTTGAAATTCTTAAATACAGAATGTTTAATATATGTTGCATAGTCACGCGATACTTCACTAACATTCACTTTATATAACGCAGATTGAAAATTATATACTTTATATAACAGATTGAAATTCCATTATAAAATTGAAGCGCAATTCTGAGCAATACATCATTTAATTTCAAGTTGGGGTAAGTATTAGAAACGAAATTCGGCAATGTAACTTTTATATAAAAAGAACCTCTGCTGTTAAATATTTGTGGCTTAAGTTTAAGAGGATTGGAAAATGAAAAGTGTTTGTTAAACTTATCTGGAGTGATGTGCGATCTGATGGAAATTATACTATCAAAATAAAGTACAGGTAATCCCCGTATAACACGGCACTTCTACAGCACGGATTCACTCTAACTTCGAGAATTGGGAACATCTCCCGTATAACACGGTGCTTTTATAGCACGGGTTCACTCTAACACGGTTCGGGAATTGGATAAAACCCTCATACAACATAAAATGTAATAAAGCGTTTATTCTTTTATATCTCCGCGTAACGCCGCGCGAGCATTCTAATTGTTTTCGTGGCTACTTTGAACGCTCTTTCAACAAATAATCCATTTAATGATTGAACTTTACAATTGGGACTCTTCTTTT